AAGAGAGAGAAACACTAATGTGAGAGGGAAACATTGATGGGCTTCCTCCTGCATGCCACACCCCCCATCAGGGATGGAGCCTTCAACCCGGGCATGTGCCCCAACCGGGAATTGAATGGGCAACCTCCTGGTGTATAGGATGATGCCCAAGTTACTGAGCCACATAAGTTTTGTTTTTTTTTTAACATGTTTAGTGAGAGGAAGGGAGAGAGAGAGAGAAACATCGATTGGTTTCACCCCAACCAGAAATTGAAACGTCAGTCTCTGGGTATGGGCCCTGACTCTGAAATGGAACCTGTCACCTTTTGATATACTGGAGGACGCTCCAACCAACTGAGCCACACTGGCCAGGGTTCCCTGATGTCTCTTAATGCATTTCCTTTGGTTATCATTGAGATTGTTGTCATCATGTAGTCATTGGCTGAATCTTCCTAGTTCTCACAGTCTATTTGTATCTCTGTGTTTCTGTGACTGTAGGATTTTGTGTGGATGAGAGCTCGGCTCCCACTGGAAGTGGAGGAGCAACTCAAGAAGAAATGTTTCACTCTGCTTTGCTACCATGATCCTAATTCTGGTGAGTGCTGGCTCTCTGTGTTCTGTTCATAGCCGGCCCTCAGGACTCCTGGGTTGCTCTTTTGAGAACAGTATATTTGAATTTAGATTTGGGACAGAAGCTGGGACTCATTGGAGACATTGGATTGTTTGTTTCCTTGCTGGTAGAATAAAAGCAAGGAATTTTGCGAGAACTCTTTTTAAAAAAATATATTTTTTTATTGATTTCAGAGAGGAAGGGAGAGAGACATAGAAACATCGATGATGAGAGACTCATTGATTGGCTGCCTCCTATACGCCCCCAGTGGGATCAAGGCTGCAAACCAGGGCATGTACTCTGGGAACCGAACCATGACCTCCTAGTTCCATGTTCAACCACTGAGCTATGCCAGCTGGACCTTTTATTCAGCAGAGGTCCTCTTGCTGCAGGGAAGAATAAGTTAGTTCTCAGGAGAATCAGCACAGAATAGGGAGGAAAGTTCAGGCTAGGTGTTCCCCTTGTCTTTATTTCTATGACTTAAGAATTAAGGGCAAAATCTGGAATTAAAGGGTGAAGACAATTATGAGAACTGGGCCATTTTTAACAGGACATCAGAAGAAAACCTGGATGAAGACAGAATTCCTAGATCTAGATATAGGACAGGGGCACTGAAAAATGGCCTTATAAGGTCCATAGCAATTAGGGTTTTACTGTCCAGTCCTCTGACTTTTTGCCCAGATTCAGACCATGAAACCCTGAAGGCAGCGAAGGTATGGAAACTGGCAGAGGTCCTGGTGAGTGAGAAGCAGCAGTGCCAGGATGCCAAGAGCCAGCAGAAGGAGCAGGTGGTGCTGCTGGAGAAGAAGAGTGCCACCTACTCCCAGGTCTGTTGGAGCAGTGGGGTAGCCTCCTCTCTTTTACCCGGACCCCAGGGGCACTTTTGGGGAAGCCAAGGATTTCTGACCTGCCTTCTTTCCTGCTCTCTTCCTCCGCCTCCTGGGGGCTCAGGTGCTGCTCCGCTGCCTCGCCTTACTGCACAGATTGCTTCAGGAGCACCGGCTGAAGACTCAGTCTGAGCTAGACCGCATCAATGCCCAGTACCTGGAGTTCAAGTGTAGTGCCATGATCCTTAAGCTGAGGTGAGCTATGACTCCTGTGGATCTAAGAGATCCACCACCCCCTATGACCCCTACCTCTTCTCTTTTCCTCTAACATGCCTAACACCTTGTGGGGTCCAGTAAATGTCACACAGCAGTATTAGCCTTCAGATTACCCCAAAGCTTTCAACATTCTTGAATCTTTTATTTGAAAGCTTTCTGAAATAGGTGCTTGACTGTGAAATATTGCTCAGGAATTCAGAGTGACCTTGTTTGTCCTGTCACTGCTTAGCCCACACCTTTGACCCTGGCAGGTACTATGTCCCGTTCCTAACTCTGCTGCTGTCAGAGATCCTCAGCTTCACATTTCTTTCTTTCCTCTGTCAGGATGGAAGAGCTAAAGATTTTGTCTGACACTTACACTGCTGAGAAAGTAGAAGTTCATCGTCTCATTAGGTGAGAACTCCTAAGAGCTTGGTACGGCTATTCAGAGCTGGTTCCCATACTCTCTGAACTCATTCATTTTAACATGTCCTCATTCTTGTCTACTTTCTGAGGAGCCAGATTCTTACATTGTATCTTCTCTGCCCGGACTCTTAGGGACCGTTTGGAGGGGGCCATTCGGCTACAAGAACAGGACATGGAGAAGTCCCGGCAGGTCCTAAACACCTATGAGGTCCTTGGGGAGGAGTTTGACAAGCTGGTAAAAGAGTACACCCAACTCAAGCAGACAACTGAGAACAGGCGTTGGGCACTCCAGGAGTTCAGCAAAGCCTACCGCTGAGTCGGCAGGCCGGAGGCACGGCTGTGCATTGGCACTGCTTCCTCTTCCTGCTAAAAGGGACCATCTTCACTCACGGGAGTGTGGGGACACTTGCTCGAAGCACTGCAGTCATTTAGGCACCCACCCTCCTTGTTTACAATGACTGAATCTCTTCTGGACAATGTGGCCGATTTATGTAAATGTATGTACAGCTATCTCCTGAATAAAGTGATAATATTGAGTCATAGGATTTTAATCATTTTCCTTTGGGGAAAGATGGAAAAAGGGTATCAAAGGCTGCGTGGGTGGAGGGGCAACTGAGTAGATACAAATAGAGACAGATCTCCAATGCTTCCACAAAGTGGGGAAGGTAGAAGTGCCAGCCTGCCCCCATGGAGTCTTTGAGGCTTCATTCTGAGAGCAAGAATGTATTAAAACTGGTTTGCTCTTGAAGAACTAGGTAATCCCCAGAGGAATGCTAGCTGTTAAGGCAGGTAGGGACCTATTCTGTCACAGTGGCTCTCAGTGGGGTGTTTTGATACAGCAACCAGGCATCCAGTTCTTGTTACAGGAAAGGACACAAGCCACTTGTGCTCCTGCTTCCCTATGGTGTGGTTTGAGGGTTACTTCTTTTTCCAAAAGCAGAGAGTGGGGAGAGATCACTCTGGGGAACCAAGTTCCATGGTCTGCTTAGCTTAGAACAAGGCAGGGCTCTGGCTGCTGTCAAAGTCAGGGACTGAGAGCAGAAGCAAAAGACCGTTCTTACTTAGAAGAGCTTACCCAGCTTCTCAAGCCACTTTTCAGGGAGACTGTCATGAGGCATTCTGCTAAGATCAAATAACGGTAATCTTTGATTGATTTATAAGAAAAATTAAGGTATTTGACTCAAATTTAAATATTTTTAAAATATATTTTTAATGATTTCAGAGAAAAAGGAAGAGAGAGAGAAACATCAGTGATGAAAGAATCAGAGATTGACTGCCTCCTGCATGCCCCCAATGGGAGCGAGCCCACAACCTAGGCCTGTGCCCTGATCGAACCATGATCTCCTGGTTCATAGGACAACACTCCACCACTGAGCCACACTGGCTGGGCTACATATTTCTTTAAATGGTGTTTACCACCATTTATCTATAAGCAAATGGTGGCCCACACAAAATGAACAAATAGCAAATAGATTAATGGAAAAAACTCAAGACATGGTCAATATTGCTTAGTTCTATAGTCCCCGCCCCCCCAATTCTTTTAGGGAAAGTTTCAAAATCCACAGAAAAATTGAAAGAATAGTGCCATAAGCATCAGTACACCCTTAACCTAGATTCAACAATTGCAACCATTTTGCTTTTATCTTTTTCTCCCCCACCTCTAGATAGATAGATAAAGATATAGAGATATTCCTCCCAACCATTTTATACTTAGTTACAGATATAACATTTCATTCCCTAAATACTTACACAGGCAACTCCTAAAAATAAGGGCACTCCCCTAAATATCTAATTAAAATTATTATATCTACTAGAGGCCTGTTGCACCAAGAGATTCGTGCAATAGGCCTTCCTTTCCCCTGGCTGCTGGCACCGGTTTTCCTCCGGCACCCGGCACCCAGGCCTTCGTTCTGGCCGGGCTCCAGCTGGAGCTGGCCCCGCGGCCATGAGGCTTTCACTGCTCCGCCGGCCTGGGGCTGTCAGGCTTTGCTCCACTGCTTGGAGACTATGTATGCAAATTGACCACCATCTTTGTTAGGTTAATTTGCATACTCTCCTGATTGGCTTGTTAGTGTAGCAAAGGTACAGTCAATTTACATGTTTGTCTATTAGTAGGTAAGATTATTGAGGTCATATTTAAGTTTCCCCAAACTTTTTATCCTTTGGATATTGTTTCTTTTTTTTTTTTCCTTTTCTTTTTTTTCTTTATCCCCGTGTCAGGCCGTCAACCATCCAGGTGCCCACAGCCAGGACGCTGGGCGTAGGCGAGCCTCTCTGCTCTCTGCTGCCTAATGATGCAGGAGGGGCATGGCAGCCACACCTGCAACGCCTCTAGGGGCAGTTGGATATTGTTTCTTTAATTTCTTTTAAAGTAGAACATTCCTCCCATTTTATTTATTTATTTTGTTTTAAATTTGAAATTATACAATAAAGAAGCTAGTTTATTTTTATTTATTTTTGTTCTCACCTGAGGATATTTTTCTGGTATAGTTTATTTATGTTGGTGCTGTGCTCTGGGGTGGGAGGCAGCAGCCCCGGACCTGCAGTGATCCTGGGAGTTATCAGAGGCTTGTCAATCCTGTGGGTCAATGGCTGAGTCACCAATGTACAGGAACGAAGCCAAACCAAGCCCCACAATAGAGGTCTGGCCTGTGACTGCAAATCTCTAAAAACAT